GCGGTGGGGTTCGCCCTGACTGGTTTGGCTCATTGGATGGAGCGTCGGCCTGCGGACTCAGGGGTCCCGGGTTCGATTCCGGTCAAGGGCATGTGCCTTGGTTGCGGGCACGTCCCCAGTGGGGGGTGTGTAGGAGGCAGCTGATCGATGTTTCTCTCTCATCGATGTTTCTAACTCTCTATCCCTCTCCCTTCCTGTCTGTAAAAAAATCAGTGAAATGTATTTAAAAAAAAAAAAAAAAAGAGGTCACGGTTCGAACCAGGAGGTCAGGGCACATGCCTGAGTTGTGAGTTTGATCCCCAGTGTGGGCCATGCAGGAGGCAGCTAAAATAATAATTCTATCTTGCCCTAGCCAGTGTGGCTCAGGGGATAGAGCGTCAGCCTGCAGACTGAAGGGTCCCAGGTCCAATTCTGGTCAAGGGCACATGCCTGGGATGTGGGCTCAGTCCTCACCAGGTAGCTGATCAATGATTCTCTCTCATCATTTAAACAGAAACAACAAATGGGTTACAGTTACTAGTAACTAAACACATAAGAAAAGGAATTTGGAGTTAAGGGATTCGGAATCACAAGACCTGAAATCCAGTCTTTGGTAAGCCATTCATTCATTCATTTGTTCAACAAATACTGAGCAAGGAGCATATATTCTAGTACGGGAAAACAGGCAACAGACCAAGTATACAAAAAAAGTTCATCCCATCACATACCGATTAATGCAAACCTAGAGCAAGTTCACTTTCAATGCTTTTTTTTTTTTTTTGTAAACCGGAGTTGCAGGGTGCTCCCCCACTGGCAGGTTACTGTGTATAAATTAAGGACAAGAAGGGAGGTGGCCTAGAGAAAGCCGCTCTACAAATGCCCACTGTCATCGTTAAGAAGTGAACACCTGCCCTGTGGCCCGTGTGACTCAGTTGGTAGGGCATCGTCCATGCATCCACAGGTTTCCGGTTGCCGGCTCATCCCAGGTTGGGGAAGGGGGGGGCCGTGTTTCTCTCTCACATAGATGTTCTCTCTCTCTCTCTCTCTCTCTCTCTCTCTCTCTCTCTCTTAAAAAAGAAGTGAGCAGCCGAACCGGTTTCGCTCAGTGGATAGAGCGTCGGCCTGCGGACTCCGGACTCAGGTCCCAGGTTCGATTCCGGTCAAGGGCATGTACCTTGGTTGCGGGCACATCCCCACTCGGGGGCGTGCAGAAGGCAGCTGATCGAATCTCTCTCATTGATGTTTCTGGCTCTCTATCCCTCTCCCTTCTTCTCTGTAAAAAAATCAATAAAATATATTTTAAAAAACTAATAATCTATTTAAAAAAAAGAAAAGAAAAGAAAGAAGTGAACACCTGGTCCCACCACTGGTCTTAACGCCTGGGTTGGACAACAGGTTTCTTCTGAGATAAGGAAACGGGATATGACACTCCATCCCTCCGGTTTCCCTTGTTTTAAATCTGAAGCGGAAACCGTGCCCTAAAGGCCACCCGAGTTCGGCCAAAATGCACGCTGTGCCCGAGGTCTGCTTGCCCGCGGTGCCCAGGCCGCTCACCTGGCGCCCGGCGAGGAAGGTCACTGTAGGGTTCATAGGTGTTTCCTCCGCCCCCGGAGAAAGTCGCTGTGCGCAGCGTCACCTTGGAAACGCCATAGCGCGTCCGCCCGCAGCGGTGGGGGTGGGGGTGGGGGGAAACCCAGAGCCCAGAGC